GTGATATTAATTTCAACCGCAAACAGCGTCAATTAACAGTAATGCTCATAACTGTGTCATTGTCATTCTATTTGTTTACAACACCGGCAATTATTGATTTTATAATGCAGTTAAATCCACCAAAACAGCACAACATAAAGCAACAGAAGAGGGTATTTTTAAAATCTCAAATAACGACATTTTTCCTACAATTTAATAGTGCAACCAATTTTATATTCTACTGTTTAGTGGGGAAAAGATTTCGATGCGTATGCCACGATATACTTACTGATTTATGGGATAGATATATTTTACGACATAAAACGAGCAATTTTTATAGGAATCGACGAACTACAATTATATGACAAACGAATACGCTACTACGAACAGAATTACAACGAATCAATCATAGTGGTAAATGTAATTCCAATTCGGTCTCCTTCATGAACTTTTTTACCAAGCCAATAACATTGGACTGTTTTTTTAGTCACTTAAAAATCTTTTCTATCCGTTCTATGAATAATCAGATCGTGTTAGTGTTTTTATTTGCATGATATTTAACCAGTTTATGAATTATACAAATAGACAAAGTATAGATATCATCGTCCTATATTTTCTGTGCGAGATAAAATCATTCCCTCTTTGTTTATTTCATAATTAGCAGACTACATAATACGTTGTTGTATCTCATTAATTTTAACGCCTTGCTAATGAAGATAATTTCTTAGGATGTCGACCACATTATACACGACGTCTGCTTTTCAGTTATTTCAAGAAAAGAATTGTTATTGTCCATCAAAAATCAATTTGAAAGAATTCTATCTTATAGCAACCTATACTGGCTTTGGTCAAAACAATTTTCGAGACTAAAATAAGTTGTTTTGAAAAAATACTTGAGAGGGGTTTCTTGCTGAATATTCTTAATGAAATTTATTGACATTAAGTATTTGTCAAATATGTCTTTGGAATGATTAACAGACGTTTGAGCGACCTCGACATTTGAGCGACCGACACTTGAGCGACCAACACTTCACCGACACCGACACTTGAGCGATCGACATGATATCTAAGTGAAGTTACGTGGTGAATGGGCGCTATGTGATACAGTTACAGATATACAGTTTCGCATGATGATTACATGTTTTGTGTGAAACTACTTTTTGAACTCACTCTCATACTGCCCACACTCACCCCCACCTCCCACGAAACACTGCCAAATATACCCAACTGTATACTACGAAAAATTCGTGGAAGAGTCGGGGTCCTGCTCGCGGTAATGTCGGTCGCTCAAACGTCCGTTGACGCTTTTTAATGGAGTTTTTCGTGTAGATTACGAATCTGATATCTATTTTGAAGGAAAATGTTGTTAAGTTGTTACAGGAAGTATCAAAAATCTGATAGGCCTTCAACAAAGATTTCTCGCGTATCATAAAAGTCCGACATCAAGATTTACTAAGGATAATGCTAGGTGTGTGCTAATTATTCGAAAATATTAGCGAGAATATTAACTGATAGAAAAATCATTCTTTGTCGGTATTCGAAGTTGGTAAATCGTCACTTATGCATTAACAGCTCTTAAACTTCTTCTCCGAACTTCTTCACCTTGATAGGGTGCTACAAGGTTGTGCAGACTCCTATGAAATATAGAAAATGGTATGATTTCATCAAAATTCAACTAACCATAGGAGTACATGGGATTTCTATTGTAGATTACTGTAATATTTTTCATAGGATCCTATCATCCAAATCCTAAAGGAACCTACGGCTAAGAATCCTATTGAATCCAATGAGCTCCTATATAAGAATAAGTAGAATTTTATTCGAATTCTACTGTAAGATATGGTTTATGTTTTCTGAATAATAACTGATCAAAATGTTTTTCAACAATATACTCTCTGTCGTGATTAACAGAGAAATTCGCTTTGATCAATTACGCTTGGATGATGACCCTATTTTTTACTAATTAAAATTGCTGAGTAAACCAACTGTACACGAAGTTGTTTTATTGCTTTCAGCTTTTTATCGACGCGGATATGAGAGAAAGAGTTCGATGCATACCAGCAATACGCGAGTTACTCTATCCTTTTTAACTCAAAGATTCCGAATGGATGCTTTCTTTGTAGAGACAAACAACGAATAGGCAGTGCTGTATATAACAAGAGGTCACTCTGAAAAAGCGGAATTACTAACCTTTGAGATATTGCACTCGTTTAACCTTTTCAAAGTTCATACTCTTTCTGGAGTCTTCTTTATTAATAACAGAGGAAGGATCCTATCCGATTATACACGGTTCCTATCAGTTCCTATTGTAGGAATTTTCACTTGTGTTGCCGTGCTCTTATACTTCGAATGAATAAAAAATATACTATTTAATTTATTTAAGTAAGAAATATAGTACTGCGACATATGTCGCAGTGCTATATTTCTTACTTAAATCTATTTTCTTCACTGCACCACCTCCAAATTTTGTTATTCAATTTATGCTTGACATACTCATCTTTCGGACAAAAGCCTCCATTTATAGACGTATTTTGCTTTTCTTTTCCTGTTCCATTCTGATGCTACTAGTTAGTAGAACTTCCAGCACAAATAACAGTACTTAACTTCTTATTCTATTGTAGAAAAGTATTGAATAAGGGGTACGGAGCACAGTGTACATCCAGACGAACAGTTGACCAATGAATGAAAGTTCACTTTTTCCAGGTTTTAACAGGTGTAAATATTCTTTGATATATGAGCTATCTATTGTCATAAAAAGTTTTAGATGGATTTGGGAAACATTGTTGCCAAAACACAGGCTGGAAGTACGGTTTCCTAGGGGTGAATTTTTTTATCGAATCGAGGTTACCCTGTTTTATCCTTGCGCAATCCGATTCAGAAAATTTCTCCATCGAAAATTTTCTCCATGAATTTTTTCTTTAGGAGCTGTAGAATGATAAGTTATCTATAAAAAACTGATTTAAAGAGAAAAAGCTTCTGGTGTCCGCCTACTACGCCATAAAACTGCACACTGTGTAGGGAGCGAAGAAGAAAAATTTACGTCAAAATCGAAAGTGTCCCTTAGTTTGCGTATATGGTTTTGTATAACGTGGTCGACCATCTATGAAACCACTTATAATCGTCTTTTAGATGATGAAAGATACTACAGCTAAACTGTAATAAACTAAATGATAATGAGTAAAATCGTAGAATAAACTGATACTGTAAAAAATGGAACATGTGATAAAAAAGCATTTCGAATGTTGTCCTTGATGTTAATCAGTTTCATTTAAACACATTGTTTTTACTAGAATATTTGTCACTGCGTATGGATCCATGTTAGCAGATGGACGTCTATCTTCCAGATATCCACATTGGTCTTCGTCAACTTGTCTTGGTATCCGAATTGACACACCACGATTCGCTACACCCGATGAAAATTTACTATAATGTGCTGTTTCATGCTTACCGGTTAAACGTCTCAAATTATCTTCGCCACCGGATGGGTCATATTGTTTCATATGGGTCATATGACGTGGTTTCAATTTCTCAATGGCTTCGTGTATAGCTCTAAAGTCACGATAAAATTACATTTCGTGAATCCTTTAAATAAAACTTCTCAAAACCAATATTGAAAAGGTATTATTAATGATAAAGATTAGAATAATCATACAGCCACGTTCGCTTTATCCACACGATGATGACTCGTATCTAGAGATGTGCAACCCAACTCGACCCGAAAGTTGGGTACGGGTCGGATACGGGTAGAGCAGTTACGGGTACGGGTTCTATTTTTTTTTAATTTACCCGAAAACCGGAAGGTTTCAGTGGAAAACCCACAAAATTTTAGTTAAAAAATACAGGAATTTAGCTAATATACATGAAGGTTTAAAAAAGAATTACTTGAGAACGTAATGATAATTTGACATCTTCAGCCGAAAAACAAAAGTTTTTAGCTGGAAAACAAAAAGGAGAAAATTTTTAGGTATAAATCGATTACGGGTCGGGTACGGGTACACAGTTCTCGGGTCGGGTAGGTTACAGGTTGGGTACGGGTGGAAAAAAATTTTCGGGTCGCGTACGGGTATGAAAATGGTACCCGTGCACATCTCTACTCGTATCTTAGTACGTATGAGCACTCTCCACTCAAATCAAATTGAATGAACAATCAATACACTACTTTTCATCGAACACCTATTCTACCTAAATAAGTGATTATTTTTATCTTACTTTTACAAAATAAAGGAAGCAAGACGAACCGTGAAACTCAGTTACCTGGTATTATCTCTTCGCCTACATCACATCTGTTTATGACAACAAGTTGAAGAACGAAGATAGCATTCAATATACGGGTGAGTCAGTGTATCTTCTCAAATATTATGTTTCATGTTTATTAGTGGAATTTATTTCATATCATCCACGTTAAGATCAGAAATTTCTGGACAATAGGTGCATGATTTCAATAAGACGATTAGTTCACTTACTTGATGCCATTTTCCTTTCTCATTTGTTCTGTTGAAAAATTTGCATGACACCCTGTTCCATTCCAGTCCCCAACAGACATTGGTTTTGGATCAAATGTCGCTTGAACACCATATTCTTCTGCAACCCGGTATAATAGATAACGACTGATCCATAACTGGTCAGCTGCATCAATTCCATTGCATGGTCCTATCTGATACTCCCACTGGGAAGCCATTACTTCCGCATTTGTACCACCAATTTCAAGACCAGCATATAAACAAGCTTTATAGTGAGAATCAACAATTTCTCTACCATATGCTTGGCAAGCACCAACACCACAGTAATAGGGACCTTGTGGCAAAGGAAAACCGCTTTTAGGCCAACCAAACGGCCATCCATCACGACCTAACAAAGTGTATTCTTGCTCTAGACCGAATTGAGGTTTATATTGAGCGGCTGCTTTCATTGTTCGGTCACAATCATAGCGATGATTTGTTTCTAAATAAAACTATTTGTTCTACAACAATTTTTATGATAATACTTATAGTATCCACTTACTTGTTGGTTTTTTCTGAGAATTGTATGTTTCACACATGACTAATTTGTTTTTTCCACCGATCAAAAATGGATCATTGTATATTGCCACTGGTTTTAGAAATACATCAGAGTTTTCACCTTCCGCTTGTCCCGTTGACGAACCATCAAACATCCACCAAGACAAATCATCGACACTTTTTGGTTCATGTTTACATGTTTTCGTTTTTGAACGTACTTGTTCTCCTGTACCATCAATCCATATGTAAGTAGCTAGTATTTTATTCGATGGTTGCGGAAGTTTCAGATATTTTTTAAAGACTTGTTTATCAAGTGCAGGTATATCTGTTGTACACGCGATTTTAAACAACGTTCGGGTTGGGTTTATATTGACAGTGTGTTTTGTATTGCTAAATAGCTAAAAAACAAACAAAAATTCATTCAGAAATAAAACGACAATTAATTCACAGGGATATGTTTGATCGTAGAATATATACAAGAAAGCTCTAATAATTTAGATTTTAACGACAGAGGGTTACAAGTTCAGTCCCATCCTGTTCATATGACTCTTCAGAAGAAAAACAATATTTGGAGTTAGGTTCAAATAGGTGAAAAGAAACATTTATTTGGCATCAGTCAGTTCCAATCTAGCTTAAAAATATGTTTTTTTATTGGACTTTAACATATTAAAACTTGAATTTTTAATACACTTCACTGCTAAGATAACATACACTTCACTGCCAGAGATAAAACATATTGTTTTAGTGAACTTTTATCTTATGGTTTTATTCAAAAATTTTTAAGATAAAAAGTTTTTATAAGTCATTGAACAAATATATATCTTACCTGGTAACATATGAAACGTTGCATTGTACCGCCAGTAGATCCGGTAAAAATTTTCATGTTTTCACCACTTTTTGTGTTTTTGTGTTAAATGTTAAAACAAAATCTATACGAATAGAGAAAGTGTTTAAGCGAAATTAATTTTCTTTCTTATCGTGTCTCTATCAATTTTTGCTTCTCTATTCTCTTACTTTCACGATCAGTAAGGTGCTGGAACATTTTCTTCTTCTATTTTACAAGGGCAACATCAACAAAATATATGCTCTCAGAATAAACAGAAGAAGAAGAGGACAGTTTGACATGTAACATCATATGCGGTTTTTAACGGATAAATCGAGTATGATTTGGACTGTTGGATTCTTATAAGAAGATAAAAAGTAAATATAAAAAGAAACAGTTCTCAGAGAGGTCACCTAGAAGGGCATATCAAAGATTATTTTTCGTTTTAACTGTTCTCATTAGAAAAAATATACAAAGCTACGAATTAGTGTTCATCTAAAAACGTCAAATGGTCGGCGTGTTATGAATATTTAACACAAAACTATCAAAAGATTTTCTTATCATATGTTTTGTTTTCTACTTAAACATATTCTAAATATTAAATACACGAGTTTAATGAACAAAAATGAACTGAGATGTTTTTTTTCAAGTCAAAGTTTACATCCAAAATTTAAATACCGGAAGAACTAATAGTTTTGTTCAAACAACTGTGCCAAATCAGTAAGTACTAAAATATTATAACGGTAACTGATAAGGAAAACAACTCTCTACAAAATGAACTATTGTATATTAAATAATAACACAAAGTGTTGAGAAATTACGAGCAGACTACGTTTTTGACAGAACATTTTCTTTTCTATAATCCTAATTTTCTTGTCAGATTTGCGTGCCAATCTATATCATTTATGCAATCTATTTTTGTTCGTTAGATATTCGTGTATTTAATATTCAGAATATGTTTAAGTGAGAAAACTGTGAAGATAAAAGTGAAAAATAAAACACATGATAAGAAATCTTTTGATAGTTTTGTGTCAAATATTCATAACATGCCGATCATTTTACAGTTTTTGTATGTTCTTTCTAATGAGTACAGTTAAAACGAAAAATATATCTTTGATATGCTCTTCTAGGTGATCTCACTGAGAACTATTTCTTTTATATTTACTTTTTTCTTTTCTTCTAAAAAGTTAGCAGTCCAGATTATATTCGACTCATCCGTTATATTTTATAACTGACGTTTTATTTATTTTGACTCCTTAATTTTAAAAAAAGGTTAGACAAGAGAACATCTGTTTCGCGTAGTAACTATCCATTCCAGAACAACATTACTGAATCGTGAAAAAAAATGAGTGTGTATAGAAAAAAGATAATAACAGTTACATGTAATCCATATTTAACTCTCAAGTTGTTCCTTATATTAAGAGTAGTTCTATTCTTCATAAGAGATAAAAATTCTAAAGTAACCAGGTATGTATGCTATGACATAGCGAAGATCGTCATTGAAAAAAAGACTACTTTTTCTTGTTTAAACGTAATACATGTTTGCTAATAGCTGCGAGATAGAGTTAAAAAAAGAAGAAAAACAAAACGAAAAAGCATTTAAAAACACAGCAAATGAAAAGTTCTTTTGACAACTTCCTAACAAAAAAATTTTCTTGTGAAATATTCAAAAGTTGGTAAATATTGGCTATTCAGTCATATGACTAAAGTATGTAGTCGAAGTGTTAAAAGGAGTTTAAAACATCTATGAAACAAAAGGAAAGATCTTATAATTATTTTTAATCGTTGTTCTGAAACTCATTTATATTCACCTTAAAGTTTTTACTATGAATAGTGACAGTATAGCATAGAAATATCAACGCTATTTTACGTTACGCTCATTGTTTCACTTTCTTGTCGATGTTTTTACAAGAATCTTGTTTCTTGCCATTTTTTTGACAAGAATCCTTTTTTAATTTTCCTTTATTAATTATGCTCAACTATTGTTTTCATTTTTTGTTCATTTTTTTTTTTCGATAAACGATTTCTGTCTGAAATAGTAAGGTTTTTTTTTCTTCAAAAAAAGTCTTAAGATAGATGTAAATTCTTTCGCATGATTCTTGTTTAAGATGACAATTTACCAGAATCTTGGTGGAAATCGAAAAAGAAAGTTAATTAGAGCATCTAAGATGGCGAAGGAAAGAAAAAGGGGTGAGAAAATCTTTTTTTCCTAACATACATGAAAATATAATAATTATTGCGAGATTGTCATCAAACATCTTTCCTTATTTCTACCCCATTAATATATGCACCAATACTCATTAAACTAAACATCTTCTTCTCCTTTCACTCATATTTTTATATTTCTCCCTTCCTTTTTCTCTTTTTCAGGACACTGTTTATCAATAGGAAAGAAAAGAGTGAGTTAGATTGTAGTCGAAGCAAAGATAGACATTTGGATATATTAGTTTTCTTTGTGTACTATAGTTCTTTTTCTAAAAAAACAATTTTATGGTTATAAAACCATGTAAAAAAAATAATTGCGTGTTAAAGTGAAAAAGAATCGAAATATAGCGGAACATTGCGTAATAATCGAACTTGTTTTTAACTACTATGAATCATTACCTTCTACCTTACCTCACAATATTGTGAGAAATAGTGCATTTGAGCTAGAAAATTTTTCTATAATGTCTCACATCGTAATGTTTATTCTAGAATACTTTGCATTATTTTGGACAAGTTTGGTCTACTTGAAACGAGCAACCAACAATGCTCACAAAAATGAAGAATTTCCTAAAACCGAAACATCTTAGTAAAGCTGCCTGCTTACTTCGACTGCATAAAGCTAGTTTTCTTTACTTAGTGTTTGTTCGTACTGAGATATTTTGTCTCACTAAGCTTGTATTAGATGGACGTGTTCATGTAGAAAAAAATCTCTCTCTACTCAGGATTCTGCTAATATCACAGGTATACAAATGCTAGAAAAGAGGAAACGATACAATGATATCTTTCAACAAAAATCTTAAAGTACACCTTAGGATGCATTTGGTACAGGTACTTGAAGCCTTGATGAGTACTTGAGAACTACGTGACAAGTTAAGCACTTGGCAAGTACTTGATCAAGAACTTGCTAAGTGTCGTTACTTGACTTGCTTCAGCCAAGCACTTGGACTAGTCAGTCACCCTTTTCTTTTGCATTGACCACTTGTATATAAACATTACAATATCAATCGTTATATATTTATAAAATAAGCTTATATATTTCTACTGAGTTGAACAAACTTAGTAGCCGTGCATGTGTTTGCTACACAAAAGTAGAGTATGGCTGCAGAATACGTACAAAATACAAAATGAAGATAAATGGAATAAGTATTTGACTGAAGCTTTTGAAGTAAATTTACTTGCATTGTATCAGACAAGTACTTACATTTTACTTGTCAAGTACTTGAGAAAGTACTTGACAAGTAAATTTACCTGGAAAAGTCCACAAGTACTGTCCTCATTACTTAACCCAAGTACTTGCGCCAGTACATTCACTAGGGCAGAGAGTAAGACGAAAACTAAGGAAAAACAGGAGTCAAAACGTCTCTTAATCAATCGCAGAAATTAACAGATTAATTTGAGGATTTTGTAGAAATTTAAATGAAATTATAAAATATAGAATCAGAAAATGGTTTAATAACAATACACACTAAAAACGAAACTGATCCGATATTAGAAAATAGTTAAACGCTTTGCGACCAAGGTACGGAAATTCATAACAGCTATAGCACTACGAAGTTGAAACTAAATCTGAAAATAAACAAACCCTGAGTAACACTTACAGTCTAACAAAAGAGGAGAAAACCAGAATAAATAAGCCGACACAGTTTGCTATCTAGACAATGTGAAACGAAGGCCGAATAAAATAGATTAGCTCTCATGAGAACAAACACAGCAAGAGCCTCTAACCACTAGCGGTTTATTGAATTGACATTTGAAATGAGACTGAAGCGCCTAATAGACGATTTCAAACTATTCTGTTGTCAGTGCAGACTCGCGCTCAATATACGCTGTCGCCATATACTGAATAGATAAAAGAAAATCGTTATTTTCTCTTGTCACTTTATTGCAGTATATATCGGCAGTATGAGTTTTTCTAATATTTCACATTATTCCATTTTTTTTCCGATTATATGTCATTATTATTTTTTTACAGTGAATCCATCTGGTTTAAGAAAATCGAAGCAGTAATGATAACATGTACGTTAATTTATCTCGAGTACAGAGATATGCGAAAAACACTATGCACTAGCTACTTCATAATGAAAGATACCCTACGGAAATTCAGAAAAGATTACATTTAGTTTGTGCAAAGAGAAAAAACTTAATTGTATTTGTAACATATCACTGGCTATTTAGTACCAAAGAGTGATCTGGTTTAGTTTCTTTTACAAAATAAACGAAGGTAGACGAGTCGTGAGCCTAATAAGACTGTATCTATCGTAGAGGAGATTTGTTGTATTTGAAATAATCTACATATAAACACATGCCTAGAGGTAAAAGTAACAAAAGATAAAGGACCAATTCCATACAGCAGCACAAGGCAAGGGCACAGGAATCATATAGGGTAGGACAGGTCCAGGATATGAAAATTTTTATAAGACAGGGCTCAGAACACAAAAGAAAAAGTCAGCTGTCTCGCACATCTCTATCTTTGACATATGTTATTGATTAACAAATTAATCACTTTGTTAGTCTTCAATTTGACCGATGTTTAAAATGAGCAATGGAAATGTCCACGAAATTCAGGGCAAAGAATCTTGATAAATGACCTTAAATAATTATATTTAGAAACTACAATATCCCACATCGGGAGGTTTATTATGGGATATTCCATCACATTGTGAGCCACATCTCAGCAAAAATTCTCACTACATATCACACTCATGCTAAATTGTCTGAAAATTTTCAAATATTCTGTAAGATTCTAGGATGTAGTGGTATTGATCGTACATTATTGTGCTTTTTCTGCTTCCAAGGTCAAACAATTCTGTCGAAGGATCCTA